TGCAAACACGGCATGGAGATCCCCAGCGCCCTCCCGGGGCTCGGCGTCGGCGGGCGTAAGTCCCCCGTTTCGGGGTGTCCCCCCTCTGGTTTTGGGGGGGGATGTCAGCCAGATGTTGGGGTCCCCCAAGGACGGGGAGGGAGGGGGACACCGTGAGGGTGGTGGCGTGAAGACCCTCTTTGGGGGTGTCAGCCCCATCAGCCAGATGTTGGGGTCCCCCAAGGACGGGGAGGGAGGGGGACACCGTGAAGGTGGTGGCGTGAAGACCCTTAACGTCATCATGGGCACCACCAGCCCTGGATGTTGGGGTTCCTCCCAAATTTTGGGGTTCCCCATGATTTGGGGGTGTCCCCCAAGGGAGGGGGACACCATGAGGGTGGTGGAGACCCTCCATGTCATCATGGCCACCACCAGCTCTGGATGTTTGGGGTTCCTCCCAAATTTTGGGGTTCCCCATGATTTGGGGGTGTCAGCCCCATCAGCCAGATGTTGGGGTCCCCCAAGGACGGGGAGGGAGGGGGACACCGTGAAGGTGGTGGCGTGAAGACCCTTAACGTCATCATGGGCACCACCAGCCCTGGATGTTGGGGTTCCTCCCAAATTTTGGGGTTCCCCATGATTTCGGGGTGTCCCCCAAGGGAGGGGGACACCATGAGGGTGGTGGAGACCCTCCATGTCATCATGGCCACCACCAGCTCTAGATGTTTGGGGTTCCTCCCAAATTTTGGGGTTCCCCATGATTTGGGGGTGTCAGCCCCATCAGCCAGATGTTGGGGTCCCCCAAGGACGGGGAGGGAGGGGGACACCGTGAAGGTGGTGGCGTGAAGACCCTTAACGTCATCATGGGCACCACCAGCCCTGGATGTTGGGGTTCCTCCCAAATTTTGGGGTTCCCCATGATTTGGGGGTGTCCCCCAAGGGAGGGGGACACCATGAGGGTGGTGGAGACCCTCCATGTCATCATGGCCACCACCAGCTCTAGATGTTTGGGGTTCCTCCCAAATTTTGGGGTTCCCCATGATTTGGGGGTGTCAGCCCCATCAGCCAGATGTTGGGGTCCCCCAAGGACGGGGAGGGAGGGGGACACCGTGAAGGTGGTGGCGTGAAGACCCTCAACGTCATCATGGGCACCACCAGCCCTGGATGTTGGGGTTCCTCCCAAATTTTGGGGTTCCCCATGATTTCGGGGTGTCCCCCAAGGGAGGGGGACACCATGAGGGTGGTGGAGACCCTCCATGTCATCATGGCCACCACCAGCTCTGGATGTTTGGGGTTCCTCCCAAAATTTGGGGTTCCCCATGTTTTGGGGGTGTCCCCCAGATGTTGGGGTCCCCCAAGGACGGGGAGGGAGGGGGACACCGTGAGAGTGGTGGCGTGGAGATCCTCAACGTCAACATGGGCACCACCAGCCCCGGATGTTGGGGTTCCTCCCAAATTTCAGGGTCCCCCCTGGTTTGGGGGTGTCACGCAGATGTTGGGGTACCCCAAGAACCCAGATGCATGGGTCCCATGAGGGATGGAGCGGGGGGAGACCATAAGGGTGGTGGCATGAAGAGCCTCAACGTCATCATGGGGCTCATGGCCACTATTCAACCCCAGATGTTGGGGTCCCCCATGGATTGAGGGGGACGACACCCGATGATGAGGGACCCCATGGATTGGGGTCCCCCCCAGATGTTGGCATCCCCCAAGAACCCAGATCCATGGGTCCCATGGGCACGGGGTGGGACACCATAATGGTGGTGGCGTGGAGACCCTCAACATCATCATGGCCACCACCAGCTCTAGATGTTAGGGTTCTTCCCGAATTTCGGGGTCCCCCCTGGTTTGGGGGTGTCACGCAGATGTTGGGGTCCCTCAAGGACCCAGTGCCATGGGGACAGAGGGGGACACCATAAAGGGTGGTGGCGTGAAGACCCTCAAACGTCATCATGGGGCTCATGGCCACCATTCAGCCCCAGATGTTGAGGGACCCCATGGATTGGGGTCCCCCCCAGATGTTGGGGTCCCCCAAGAACCCAGATCCATGGCTCCCACGGGGACAGAGTGGGGGGGCACCATAAGGGTGGTGGCAAGAAGACCCTCAACGTCATCATGGGGCTCATGGCCACCACCACCCCCAGATGTTGGGGTTCCTCCCGAATTTCGGGGTCCCCCCTGTGGTTTTGGGGTGTCCACCAGATGTTGGGGTCCCCCAAGGCCCCGGATCCATGGGTCCCACGGGGGTGGAGTGGGGGACACCACAAGAGTGGGGGACACCACAAGAGTGGGGGACACCACAAGAGTGGGGGACACCACAAGAGTGGGGGACACCACAAGAGTGGTGGCACAAAGACCCTCAACATCATCGTGGGGCTCGTGGCCACCACCACCCCCAGATGTTGGGGTTCCTCCCGAATTTCGGGGTCCCCCCTGTGGTTTTGGGGTGTCCCCCAGATGTTGGGGTCCCCCAAGGCCCCGGATCCATGGGTCCCACGGGGGTGGAGTGGGGGACACCACAAGAGTGG